GCTACAGCCTTCAGATCATCCTTGTGGTCCTCCTCTAGATTTGTAGAAGAGACAATCAAGAGGAGATATAGCAACAATCTTCCAAACATGCCAAATGCTGTGTTAAACAAGTCCCCTGTGTGTGAGGCACCACACCGAGTCACGTGGATGAACCAATTTGGGTTGATACTATATTGGAGATGTTGACAAGTTTCTCCATTGCTAGTGCTGGACACTTCAGTCTGTGAGACACGTCTTATGTTGTCAACTCATGTTTTCTGAATTAATGTTTGAGTTCTCTTGCTCAATAAAACCATTTACATTTTATTCTTCATTGCCCTGCACCATTCACAGTGGTAGCAGTGTATGTGTGTTCTGTAGTAGTTTACACAAATGTCAGAAGTGAAAACAATGGAGAATTGGCTCAATTAAAACATGAGGCTGCTCTGAAAATTAACTGTAAAACTAGTATTAAAGATTTTTGTTTGTTTTCATCCTGGGGGTTTCTTGTGTCAAATATGCTTGGTTAGCATACAAGTAGCATCTCATGGGATTTTTTTTAGCTAGCTGCCAGTCCTGGAAAATTTAATGTGAACGTGTGAAGGAAGTCTATAGTACATAATAGAGCATTGTGTGATAATCCCTGAAATAGGAAAAGAAATCTACATCGTGTGGCCAGTATCTCAGAAAATAAATCTACGTGTGGACTTGCCAGCTTGAGTTCAGCTCTGCATAGCTGCTCAACTTTGTGAAGATCTTCCACACTTATGCTGGTTCCTGTGTAGTCAGGTTGGGTGTGTTTGTTCTGGACCTTCTGCACATCTGAAGCACTGGATGTGGCCAGCTTAGGTGTCTCTTTAAATTCCAGGTAGATATTTTTCTTTCTCTTCAATTCTCCCTAGTGTGTAATATTTTTGCAGAACCAGTCTTCCTCTTGGCATGGAGCAATGTCACTGCTTCTGAAGGATTCAGACCCATAACTACCACAACATTTAGCAGTGTAGGTCCTTGTGAGACCAGTTGGAGGTATGTACCAGTTTGCCTTGGTGCATCTATGCCAATTGGTCTGAGTGCCCTTTCTCTTCAGTTCTCCCTAGTGTGTAAGATTTTTGCAGAACCAGTCTTGCTCTTGGCATGTCAGGAGCAATGTCACTGCTTCTGAAGGAGTCAGACTCATAACTACCACAGCATTTAGCAGTCTAGGTCCTCATGAGACCAGTTGGAGGTATGTACCAGTTTGCCTTGGTGCATCTATGCCAATTGGTCTGAGTGCCCTGTCACAGGAAAATTGACTAGTTTTGTTACTGGTGATAGCAAAGAAAAAGAAGAATGAATGTGCCATTATTCTGCTGGATCTGTGGTAGGACTACACCCAGTAGAAATGAAAGGTATTGAAAAATCCATTTGCTCAAGCCAGGAAATAGAGCTTGGAATGCTGAGGGCATGCTGCTTCACCTGGTGAAGGAGTGGGAGAAGCAGAAATGCGAGGCCTTCAACGGAAAATACAAAGAGCTGGACTAAATTTACAACTCTTCCCTAAATTCGTTCTTCTTGATCTAGGCCTGGCAGTGTGGAGGCAAAGTGGAGGTGCTGCCCTGTTCAAGAATTGCTCATTTGGAGAGAGCTCACAAGCCTTACTTGCCGGACCTGAGCGTCGCCGTGATGCGCAACGCCCTGCGAGTGGCTGAGGTCTGGATGGATGACTACAAGTACATGGTCTACTTCGCATGGAACCTCCCAATCGAGGTGGCTCAGCAGTGTTTCTCTGTTTCAAATTGGAATCCAGAGTATAAAAGTGATTGAATAAGAATGTGTGGACACACCAAAAGAGGCGTAGTGTGGTTATAAGAATCACTGTGGGGGGAAAAAACACATTAAAATTTATTAATAATCATTGATATGGATGGGACCCAAGAGCCATGTGATCTTAGATCAAGAGATCATAGACCTGTTTCTCTCAGGCTTAGAGCAAGAGCTCATGGCTCTCTTAAAGAATATAAAATCAAGTTGTTTAACATGTATTTTAACACTTTTTTAGCAAAAGTAAAGGAGTATTTTATCTGGAATATTCATAAGCTTGCATGAAAGAGCATGTCTTCAGTGATCTGAGTGTCCTCGAATATCTTTTAATAAGCAAAATTGAACTTCAAACAGAGAATTCAATTACTCTTCTTGACATATCCAACAAATTTTATTAAGTGAACTCTCCTGTCTGTAGCCCAAGGTTCTCCTTTTGTTTTCCTAGAAGAAAAAAGGGGAAAGTCATATAGCATCCTTGGAAGGCTGAGAAGTGGTAATACCAGGAAATCAAAAAATTTCCTTTAATAATAATCTAAGTCCTTTAAATGACAGGATTTTTTTTTCTCCCTTTGATTAATTTCAGTACTTCAGAACATGATTTTAACTTTTCTTTTGAACGAAATGTTGAAGGTACTGGAAGTGTCAAGATCAGGTCATTTGATAACTTTGTTTAATAAAAAGGTATGAATTTTCTCAGCCTGCACTTCAGTGGATTCATGAGTCTTTAACCAAGGGAGAAGAGCTTCCCACATCCTTGAATTTTTTTAATAGATATTAAATTTTTAAATATAGTAATGTAGCAAAAATGAAAACTTCAGAAAAATACACTTCCCTTCCCCAATAATTAACTGTTACTGTAAACATTTGAAATTTTCAATCAGAAAATTCTAGTCATCAAAAACTAGCTCAAGTCTATTTGAAATTCCTCAACCAACTTATTCGGGCCATAGACTACATTAGAGAGAACTGCTTAAATTCAAGGTGTAAGCTCCTTTTGGACTGATCTCTGTCAAACTTTCCTGGTGGAGATGTTCCACTTTGTATAAGGTAGTCTCAGAAATCCTAGTCTGAATCTTGATTTGCTCCCATGTGAGACGAACATCGGCGTCAAAAGACTATTGATCAAACCAAGGTTGTTAACAAGCTCTGTCTTATTTTTCACTTTGAGCTAGATTGGGGTTTTGTTGTCAGTATGAAATTAGAAAACTACTTCACAGCCATACCTAACTTTGATATTCCTTACATTTATGAGGTCATAACATGTTAGTTTTTCAGTAGTTTATTTGCGCTTCTAGGTGAAACATGTTCTGAAATTCTGAAGTTTAAAAAATGTTCTATTTTTTTTAAAAAAGACATATATTTTAATGCTATGAATATACGATGTGGGTTAATAAATCTGTATTTTTGCCTAGTTTCTCAGGCTACATTAATGCTCTGAAATTAATGGTATTCTTGCAGAATTCCGGAATAGATTATGGAGATGTTTCTTCCAGAAAAGAACTAAGGAAAAAACTGAATTGTAAAGGCTTTGACTGGTATATAAAAAACATCTACCCTAATTTAATATATCTTCCCAACATTGTTGGCTATGGAACAGTAAGTATTGAGTCTATCTATTTGAAATATGGAACAACTCATTAGCTCTACTGTTCTGAAGAATTGTTGTAAACACTGTTTTGTTCACATTATGCTCTATTTTTTCACAAACATAGGTTTGTTCACAGATTATGCTATATTTTCCTAGACACTGTAAAAAGACTTTAAGATCTAGAAGGATATCTAAAAGTTTTCTACAGTCTTTTTCACATTAGTTGTCAGTCTAGAATTTCTAAACTGTGTTTATTATGGATGTACTGATGGGAGCACAACAGTAGTTTGGGGAAGGGCTTAACATGCATTTTTTTTTTTACTGCATGCAAAACTCATCTGTTGATCGACAAGAATGGATCAAGACCTTCTTGTAAGGGCCTGGATTTTTCAGTGGAATAGTATGATTTATTTTTTTGTGCAGAGATTAGCAGGATAATTTGGAAAGCATGCAGACGTGAGTCACGATAGCATGAAATTCATTGGAAGCCAGGCCACTATTTGTGAAAGAGAGAACTAATCATCCAGGCTGCAGTATATCATCTTAGTATAGATGGGCATTTCTAGACCCAAGCTTACCTACCTTGCTGGAGCTGGGCAGTGGTACTTGCCTGTTTGGAGCTGCCTGGTGACTTCTGACATGGTGCTACATGGTGTTATGTCAATGAGACTTTGAAGGATCTGCTTTTGATTTTTGCTGGGATGAATCATTTCTACAAAGGTAATCTGAGATTGATTCTCTAAATCCATGTTGTATTTTCCACTTCAGGATGCTCTGAATAAAGCAGCCTTGCTCTCAGGCCAGTTTCTAAAATTAGTGGGGAGAAGTTGAAAACAGGATTGCTGTTCCTCATGGTAAACTTCCTGGTTTATTCTGCAGATGAAAAACACCTTGAAAGAAGACATCTGTATTGATCAAGGCCCTGTCCCTGGAAACACGCCAATTATGTATGGCTGTCATGCATACTCACCACAGGTAATAAAAGCAACTGATCAATCTTCACACATCATCTGTTGCTAACTGTTACTTTCAAACCTCCACAGAGCCATAAAATGGCACTTCAAAACTATTTTCTCTGTACTATCCAAAGGGGACTATTAACCTTTATTTCATTAAATTCTGCTCCCCAATAAATCTGGTAGCAGAGCAGGTTCCCATGGAGATCTAAGTGCATTAAACTGAGGCTTTTGGTTTAGCCTTGCCAAAAAATTGAGAGCTCATTTTGATACTGATTGATCTTGTTGATTAACAAAAGATCAGTGCAGCAAATGGGAGAGGTGAAGCTCTTCCTTGCACCTCACTCTCAGTAGGAGGGAAGCTAAAGGTTACCATTTGATCGTAAGCATCTTGCTTTTTTTATTTTGGAAAGCAGAAAGAAGTTGTATAGGATCGAATTCATCCTGGTTTAATTACTGAGAGATCAGTGAGTGCTCGTGCTGTACAGCTGACACATCTCAGTATTAGTTTTGGAAGCAGCTGCTATCATCTGCTGATGAAATTTCCCTGGTACCTTAACTGACTGACAGGGCTGTCCCCTTTCCTTTCAGCACATCTTTTATCACAGCACTGGAGAAATGTATGTGGGAGGTCTGCGTGCCCGACGGAACACCATTGACAGATGCCTAACAGACCCTGGGAATGGGGACCTGCCAGTTCTAGAGCAATGTGACATAGCGCTGAACAAAGGCCTGAACATGTACTGGGATTTTAAACAGGTAGGTGGGTTTCTGTAGCCTCACGTTTCAATAAGCTTTCCCCTTATAATGAATCCTTTGCCTCAATTTCAATACTTGCAAGTGCCGCTGCAAGAGCTACGGTGAAGGTGATTGAGTCTTCAGCTTTGTGGGGTTTTAAAAATGAGGGTGTGGTCACACAATCAAAGTTGAGTGGCCAGAATTTAACCAGTTTTCCCTTATCTGAATTATAAGCACTGGTCCGTCTGTCTGTTTTGGTGGAATCAGCTGGTTTAAGCCTTTCTCTTAAAGGTTTAAGTCTTTTAATTTTTGTCTAGGTGACTAAAAGGACTCACTTGCTCAGTTATCCCAGTTCAGCTAGCAGGCAGGGAATGTGTAAGCCCAGATGCATCTGTTACTTTTTATTGTCTGACTATGCATTATGAACTCTACACTGCCCACCATTTGTCTTCCCAGCCTTCTTATGGGACCTGTTGATCTCAGGGGAAAAGTGTGCTGATGCCTTGTCCTGCTTGCTCTCTGGTACCATTTCTTTAACAGGATCTGAGCATGGAAATCCTTGCTGGAGATCAGGCTAGGTTCATGCTTCCAGAGTACAGGTTACTGCTGGCGATTAGAGACTTCACACCACGTTCACTTGTCTCCATTTGTGCAGGATTTATGCTAGCCAATGCTCAACATGCCTATGAACCCAAGTGAGACTCCTTCCAGGGAGCTGTAGAGAGCAATAAGGTCTCCCCTCAGCCTCCTCTTCCCCAGGCTAAACAATCCCAGATCCTACAGCTGCTCCTCATAAGACATGTCCCCCAGACCCTTCCCCAGCTTTGTTGCCCTTCTCCGGACCTGCTCCAGCACCTCAATGTCTTTCTTATCCTGTGGTGCCCAAAACTGACCCCAGTACTCAAGCTGTGGTCTTACCAGTGCTGACTACAGGGGCACAACCACCTCCCTACTCCAGATGGCCACACTATTTCTGATCCAGGCAAGGATGCCATTGGCCTTCTTGGCCACCTGGGCACACTGCTGGCTCATGTTCAGTCAGCTGGCTGTCGACCAGCACCCCCAGGTCCTTTTCTGCAAGACAGCTTTCCAGCCACTCATCCTGAAGCCTGTAGCACTGCCTAGAGTGGTTGTGACCAAAGTTCAGGACCTGGCACTTGGCCTTGTTGAACCTCATGCAGTTGACCTTGGCCCATTGATTCAGCCTGTGCAGAATATTTCTGTTGGCCAGCTTGGGTCAGCTGCCTTGGCTTTCACTCCCCCAAGCTATAGCAGCTGGCTAACTCAAAGCTGCTTAAGACCTAATCACTGTGGAGACCCACATAGCATGGATGGCCATGAAGAAAACCGAAGTGTCTTATCAGCTTTGTTCTCACTGAATTAGGTCCTGCAGTCATCTCAAAAATGCAGCTCTCATGAATAGAAACCCGACTGTGATTCTATCCCAGTGAAACCAGGATACTTAGTCAAAGACAGGTACTGCCATGATTCTGGGGCAGGATAAACAGGCCACAGTGACAATGGTAGAGGGAGAGATGGGGAAAGGAAGCTTCTCCCTTCTCAAGTAGTTTAAACCTTATTCTGTAATTAATAATTAAAAGATTTTACATGTAATGTATGGGCCTGTTTCAGTCAAAAACTAAGCAGAAGACAAATGTTGTAAGAAAGTGGTAGAGGAGTTGAAAGGTGAAAAGACAAAGGTTTCAGTGATGTACACCAAATAATATAGAGCTACACAATCTCCAGAAATTCTGCTGACATGAGCTTTCCTTTATCTTTAGTCTGGTCTGTAACCACAAAACTTAGAAAAAAGGTGCAGGTGTGTTTCTGGAAGGTTTTAGACCCACCTTAAAAGTAAACCTTCAGTTCCCTGTGTGCATCAGGCATTATCACAGTGCATCAACTGGCTGCCCTAAGGAGCAGGGTGAGATCCTGTTTGCACTGGAGACCAGCCCCTTAGGAAAATCCCAATTTCCAGTGTGATGAGTTGACTTAATCACACCCCACCCCATTCACAGCCGTCGGTACTGAAATATTAACTCAGAGATAAGAGAGTGATATTCTCACTTGTTATTATCTCTCTTGTTTCAAAACAGGGTACAGTATTAACATTTACTAAACTGATTTTTTGAACTGAGAAAAACCCCAAACTCACCAAAACCAAATACCCCACAGCCCCCAAACTCCAAAAAGCAGACACAAAGTACACATCTAAATAATTTTTTTACATGAATTGGAGAGTTCCACAAGCTGTCATGCATCAGCCTAAGGAAAATGCAACAATTTTCTTTCAGGTCCGTGACCTACTAGTGTTTCTTGGGTCCATTTGTAGAGGCCAAGAGAATTGCTTCCTGACTGAGCACTAAATTTATAAGCCCATAGCTTCTCATATATTTAATTTCCTTTTTTTTAGGGATCAGCCGTAATTAACAGGAACACTAAAAGATGTCTCGAAATCACCACAAACAATCCAGCTTCGTACAGACTTGTAGTGCAGACCTGCACAGGGCAAAGGTGGAAGATCCAACACACAGTTAAGGACTGGGGAAAGACAGAAGACCTGCAACAGAAGACAGAGCCCTCGAAGCATTGACGAGGGGACATTTTTCCTTGAGAACTGCCACATTCATACTGCACCACTGAAAGCAATGATTTCAAGAGTTTGTTTACACAGGATTGTACAATGTTGCATTCTTGGAGCATCACCCCACTGAGTTTCATTAATTAGGGGAGGAGTGAGGATTGCATTTGCTCTCTTTTATTGCCACCAGGAGGAAGGAGTTACATCTAAGAGTGTTTCAACCCACCTGAGCTCCTTACACTGTCTTTTGCTAGTGCCTGTCTCTGCTCATTAATGAATAGCTGGTGTAAGGCCTCTAACTTTCTAACTTTGGCATTTGGGTTAGGTGTGATAATTCAGAAGGAAGGGAAGTGGATCTGCCTTCCTCTTGTACGCAGCCTCTCAGGCTGGACTGAACTGGTTTTCTTGTCTTGTGTCATATAGATAATGCACAACTTCTTGTTGAGGTGTGCTCATGCTAGTGGGTGAAATGAAATATGCTTCTGTCCTTATAATTTGCCTGTCCATGATTCAGTTTCTTTGTAAGATTTATTAGTTTAAGCTGTGTGCCACACTAAGGCTGTTTTATGTTCACCTGTGTGAAATTTTTCTGTGCCAGCCAGCTGATGGCAAGGATAAAATCCAGTCAAGGAATCCCTTGAAAACAACAGGATTCAACTCGGTCGTTTCCACAAACCAATATCTGCCTGTAGGGGAAACTAAACTACAGCAAGAGCTGCTAATGGGAGTCAACTTCCAGATAGACATGATATGAGTTCCAGCAGAAATAGGGTTAAGTGGAACTGCCTGTACTACTCTGAGTTAACCACTCTAGGACCTATGCTTATTTGTTAAAGGGAACTCCTGTAGTTTCCACTGAAATGCTTTTCAGCCCAAAGTCATTTTATCAGAAGGGTGCCAAGCGTTTTATCTGAGTAGAAAGTGTATTTGGGGTTTGTGTCAATATTTGTTTGAATATAATCCAGTATGGTTTGTTATTTCCTTTCTAATTTCACTGTAAACTTAAGGTGAAAAATCTGGCCCTGACATTCAGGGGTGGAATTGGACAAGCCCTTGTTAAAGGACTGTTTCGTCCTTAGAGTCTGTGTTTTCCTGTTCTGGAAACTGATTCTTAAAGATGTTGCATTTTAACCAGATTTGATTTAAAAATCTTTCTAAAATCAACTTTTACTCCTATGTCCCAGGTCAAAGTCAAAAACACTGGAGAAATACATGCTCTCGTTTTCTGCATCTTCAACAGCTTGTCTTACCAAAGTCAAAGGACTAACATTTTGGCAAGCACAATGAAGACACTGGGAATTTTGCCAGTACAACTAAAATAATAATCTGGCCTACTGGTGATGATGGCTAAAAAGTGTTCACATAGTCATTTTTTCCATCTTAATAAGCCACTTCAATAGTATGCAATGGACATTTGAACAATTTTGTTTTCAACTTAGAATTTGGAAAACATGAAAATGTTCCAGAATGTCTAGATCTTCTGTTTTTTAATGTATGGCCTTGATATACATGGGTCAACACCGAAACAAAATGCTTAAAATATTTTCTTTTATCTCAGGGATGATCTTTTTAATTTCCTGAAGCTCCTCCACAAATAAGAAAATAATAGGCAGGAATTTTAATGGGTGTGCAGCTGCAAAGGAATGGGACAGCTTAATTCAGAGCAAATATAAACAAGAGGACAAAGGTACATCAAAGGTACATACTACTGTGCAGAAAGGCCCTTGTGGCCCCTGCAGAGCAGTAAAGCTTTCCCCCTTGGTTTTGTGCTCAAGCAAGCTTGGTTTTACTGCATGCACAACAGGAATCCACCTTACTGGGGAGAACTGAAAGAAGAAAAAAAGGTGTTTTTTTTCTTTAGTGACTGGTTGAATGGGGAGGAGTCAGTCTGTAGTCAGAAACTATTTAAGAAACTACCAATTGTCAGTCTCTTTAAGGGGAAACTAAATCAAAGAGCAGAAATAATCCTTTAATCTGTTATCAGGGGATTTGTTTAGTTCTGATCAAAACCATGTGTGGTGGAACTGTGATAATCAATAACAAAATAATGACAAACCCCACTGCTTTCATTCACATTTTTTTGCCTGACTTTTCTGATGTAAATTTAGATTCACCTCCTCATTTTCCTCCCTCTTTGTGAAACCAACAGTTTTGAAACATTAAATGTATGTATTATCAGCAGGGTATACCACTCTGCGTGCATTGAGAGCAATTCAGTCAGAATCAGCAGGCAAAGTTTAACCATAAGATTATTTAAATTTTATCTGTCTTGCCTCAAAAGCAGCAGTAGCTTCTCAGGCATAAGAAAGTTTTTGTTAGAAAAACTCTAATTTTCAGAAAGCTTGATGATTTAGTACTGTTTTCACCTGTTTGCTACTATTCCTGTCCCTGTCACAGCACGATTTTTCCATTCTCACACAAGACACAAGTAGCTCACTTTGTTCTTTGGTTTGATTTGATGTTTCTGGGCTTTATTCATCTTATTTAAGCTGCTGTATACCTGTTTTCCTGCACACATCTTCCAGCACAGTGTGCTGCTTTTTTTTTTTTCTGCTGCATAATCTATGAATGCATCTTTTTTTAAACACTTAGCAGACTGGGAGTCTTTTCCCTTCTGCTGAGAGATCCAGGTGAGCTGAGGATATCTGTCAGTTTGATAATTAATTGCCAGCATTGAGAGGACTGAAGATTAGAGCAGCTCACAGGCAGCCACCCAGAAAACCTCAATAAACTGTGCAAGCCTCAAGACTGCCAATGACATAGAAGGTCCATCAATCACACGCTAGGTCAGGGTCACGTCCTGTCCCTGAAGCCTGGGAAGTATGGCACTGGGGCTTTGTGTGAAGCTTTGTGCTTGAAACTATGCACTGATGGCATTTCAGGATTCAGCTCAACTCTCCCTGAGGCAGGTGTGATTTCAGCAATGTCTTCATACTTCCACAACACTGGTAAATTCTGTCTGCTCAGGTATGAGTTATCATCAGTCAAGTTTGTAATCTCAGAAGAGATCTCAAACTGGTTGTTTTGGTTTTTCTTTTCTGATTTTTGGGAGACTCACTGTTCTTTCAGAGCATGTTTTTCCAGCTCTTCACTATGAATTTACTTGCAGTCCCTAGTCCTCCCAAACTCCCCTCCCAGACAAAGCAAAATGGTACTTTGTAGTGTATGCATTCGCCTGCAAAACTCCCCAGAAATGTGCCATCTGTTGCTGAGTGCCCAAAGCAACAATGGTAATGGCAGCAGCTTTGAAGCAAAACCCACACAGACTTGAGCCCTACTGTGGGGGACAGAATTCAGGATCGTGGTAGTTGTTTGCTTTTAGTGCCATGTGTGTTTCTGTTACAATGGTTCAAAGGAGACTTGAAAATGTAGGTCAGTTTTGTGGATTATTTCACAGAAATTCTCACTGTAGATGTTATGTATCTATTGAAATCTAGGAACTGCATGGTATAATGGCACCCATCCTGAAACTACTGCTTTTCTGGGGAAGAGGAATTTAAATAAAGGGGAAATGTGCCTTACACAGCCACCTTTGAAAAAGGTATTGTCAGTTCATTGTATTTCAAGGAAAAGAGGTGCAGCATTAGTCCTGCACTGAGCACCACATCCAAAAAAGACTGATTTCTGTGTGTCAGACAACTTTTTTTTCTTTGTTGGATGTGTGCTGGTGCCATTACCCTGAGCCATGCTCATTTTTCACTCCCACTGAAAATGGTTCCTAGTGTGTTCAGCTCAGTCTGCATCACATGCCATGTTTCTGGGACCACCATGCTTCTGGCATGCAAGCCAGTTGATTTAAGTAATAGCATGCTGTACTGCAATCTGCTGTATAATTACACACTTAATTAGATTCACAGTTTGTCACCTACGTCACACTGTCACAGGGCTTGTTGGTCTTTAAGAGGGGAAAAAAATTCTTCTGGTTATTAGAAAAGCATCACAAGGGTTGATTATTTTTTTTTTCTTTCTCCCTGAAGGTTTCTTTTAGAAGAACCTGCAGAACAGATTTATTAAATGTCTGTGGTTAACACCCCCCAATTAAATTATGCCTTTGGGTTTGCAAGGAAAAAGCCCTGAGAACACCTTTTTGTGTGTGTGTGTTTCACTGAGAAACATCAATATTTAAGAGTGTGTGTTGTTGCCCTTCTATGCTAGGGAGAGTTATGAATGTCTACAACTTAATGATGGTGCTGATAGGGTTGAGTGTTTATGGGTAAGAATCAGGGGGAAGACCAACAAGGCAGATATCATGGTGGGAGTCTGTTATGGACCACCTAATCAGGATGAAGAGGCCATCTAGGGCATAGTGATTATGAAATGATAGCTTTTAATTCTTGAAGAAGTAAGGGGAGGGATCAGCAGAACTGTCAACTTGGACTTCTGGAGGGCAGACTTTGGCCTGATCAGGACACTGACAGAGCCCCTTGGAAGGCAGTCCTGAAGGGCAAAGGAGTCCAGGAAGTTTGGACATACTTACTTAAGTCTTGAGTCTTAAAGGCTCAGGACCAGGCCATCCCCACGTCCCAAAAGATGAGTGCAAGTCCATACAAATTGGAGAGCTATGGCCATTGTCCCACATCAGGTTGTCAAGCCTGGTGTAATACTAGCTGAATGGGCTGGAGCAACGGCGTGTGTATTACTGGAAGGAGATGACACTCCTGTTTTCCTTTCTTATCACAAGTTGGTTTGTTGTGCTTCATAGTCATAGTGCAAGCACACACCCTGGGTATGTTTCTGCAAGATCAAGTAAACAGCTGGTTTACTGTAACTGACTCACCTGCCTTCCGTATTAAGGGTGGATTAACAGCACAGAGCTTTGGAGCACGTGTTTCATTGACCTGCTAACCACGATAGCTGCATTACAGAACTATACTTCCTAAGTTATTTTGGTGCTACTGTTCCTCATTGTTATTTTTTTCTGAGTAGGTAAGTGGTGTACACCAATGAACATAACAAAATTGGTTGATGGTGGGTTATTTCCTCCTTTGACATCATAAAAGCTGCTTAGATTT